TAGTGGCATACTACGTTTGGGTTGAACATGTGCCTAGGTTGATAATAGTTGCTAGGGGGCCTAACCATATTCATCCTATTTTGAGAAAATATTGGTTTTTGAAAATTCTCTCTTTTAGGTGTCCTAGCATTATTTTGTCTATTTGAAAAGTCATTTCTGTGCATAAAATCATTTTGATAATTCCTCCTAGGTTGCCTAGAATGCTCATGTTCATGACTAACCTTTTGTCTAGGTTGTCTATTATTTTTATTTTTATCTTTCTTAGGTTGAGCTCTAGGTGATTTACGATTGTGCTCAACTTTTTCTTTATTTTTAGGTTCATCTATTTTCCCAAAGCCTATTCCTTGTTTAGTGTATTGCATAAAATCAAAAACGAGATTAAGATTTTTATGTGGTTTATTAAATTTCTTCACCGTGTTTTCTAACTCAGCAACTTGTTCTTTCAAAGCTATGCAAGAGTCACAATGTTTTGTAGAGCTCTCGGGTTTGTCGGTGCTTCTTTTACCATAAAATTTATTTTCCTCTTTTAGTTTTTTGTTTTCCTTTTGAAGTTTTTCAAACTGAGTTTCAAGATTAGAAAAACGTTTCTTTAAAGCTTTGTTGGTTTTAGAAGCGCTAACAAACTCGTCATAAAGCTCTCGGAGAGCTTCTTGCATTTCTCCAAGAGAATAAGAATCGGTAGAAGAAATACATACCTCTTGGTTTTAGTCGTTGGATGACTTCTCTTCTTCTTGAGCTATGAGACAAAGGTTTGTTTCCTCGTCTTCCTCTTGCTCGCTTGACTCATCGCCGGAGTCTCCTCCCCAAGAGATGTATGCTCGTTGCTTCTTGAGCCCATGTTTGTCCTTGGGGTTCTTGGGTTTTGGACATCTCAGTTTGATGTGGCCAATCTCGCCACAGCCATAGCACTTCGGGGAATCGCCGTGCTTCTTTCCTTTGCGCTCGTGCTCTTTCTTCATAAATTTGTGGAATTTCTTGATGATGAGGTCAAACTCGTTGTCTTCATCACTTGATTCCTCTTCAACCATTTCCTTGGTTGCTTTGAGCGCTATCCCTTTATTCTTGTTCATCCAAAGACGGGGTTAGAATTGTAGATTCATAAGTTTTAAGGTTACCTCTTAATTCGTCGATGGTTACGTTGGAGACTCCAATGGATTCATAGATGGCATCGGCCTTTGATATCCATTCGGGGATGAGGCTCCGCAGGATTTTCCTCACGAGGTCCTTGTTGGCATACGTCTTCTTTAGGAAGTCAATTTCCGCAGGATTTTCCTCACGAGAAGCAATTGAACATGTCGTCGATCTTCTCGTCTGGTTTCATCTTGAACATCTCGTACTCCTGCGTTAGGAAGTCAATTTTCGCTTCCCGAACTTGGTCCGTTCCTTCGTACGTCACATCAAGTTTATCCCACATCTCCTTGGCGGTTGAGCAGCAGGAGATCTTGCGGTAGTCATCAGGATTTACGGCACAATAAAGCATGTTTATTGCATTTGCATAATTCTCGACCTTTTTGATGTCCTCGGCATCAAACTCGTCTTCGGTCTTGGGGATCAACTTGTCTCCGACTTTCTTCATCGGCACCTCTTCCCCGTTTTTGATAACCAACCATAATTGGAAGTTCGTGGAACAAATATAGATTCTCATTCGTTCTTTCCAATATGTATAATTGGTTCCATAAAAAAGAGGTGGCCGTGTAGTATATTGACCTTCTCCAATCCCTGCATAAAGATTTCTAGAAGAAGAACCCATGATCGCTTTACTCACAAACGGTTAAGTTTGGACGCGAGTTAGGCTCTGATACCAATTGTTAGAATAAGTGACAAACGCTAAAGGGGGGGGGCTCTGATACCAATTGTTAGAATAAGTGACAAACGCAGGAATAAAAAATTAAGAACGTGAAAGATAAAGAGCGTAGAAAGCGTAAAGGGAGCACACCAAGATTTACCCTGGTTCACCACAACTTGTGGCTAATCCAGCCTCCCGAGAGACTCTCTCGAGCTACACTACTTCCGTTAAGCTTACGGGTGCTTAACAAACCGTTACAACCTGAGAACTCGAGTCCCACGAGCCT